GGGGGGGGAGTCTGCCATCTCTGACTGCCTTGTTGTTGTTGTTGCAGTTCCATCCCCGAACATCTACGGTCAGATCAACGCCATCCAGCTCACCCTGGACTACATGACTGTGCTGTGGGCAAACCAGTTCCTGCTTAACGTCGCACAGAGCATGGTGGGTACAAACTTTTTAAAAAAAGTTAAAATCCACCCCGCAACCATTAGCATGGTCGCATATGGCGGTGCCCATCTCCATTTCTGTAGCCCTTGGGCCACACAACTGTCTAGGCTAGCAGACACAAGATCAGAAGGATGTTGTGACCTTGAGAAAGGCACTTTTTCTCTCTCCATCCTGGTGTAAACTTGGTACCTGACTTTGGTTGATAAGATAAAAGGCAGTGAAAGGAGATGGATGGGGTCGGTCTTCCAAGGTCTACCTTGAAACAGTCTGTGGATGGTCTTACCTTTTACACATGTTTGGTCAGTCGTTCGAAGTTTGATACTCCTTGAAGGACAGAAAAGTGCCCGACGTAGTGAAGTGACTGCAATGTGACGGTTGCCATGGTGATGTGTTTGTCTCTCCTCCAGGCTGCAGCTCCGATGGACCGACAGGAATCAGTGGAGGAGCCTGCCCCGGCCTCGCTACACGTGGACATCCGGCTGGAGATACTCATGCCTAAGGTACGGGGCTAGGGCTAGGGTTAGGGTTGGGGATAGGGATAGGGTTAGGGTTAGGGTTGGGGTTAGGGTTAGGGTTGGGGGTTGGGGATAGGGTTAGGGTTGGGGTTAGGGTTGGGGTTAGGGTTAGGGTTAGGGTTAGGGTTAGGGTTCGGGATAGGGTTAGGGTTAGGGTTGGGGTTAGGGTTGGGGATAGGGTTAGGGTTAGGGTTAGGGTTAGGGTTAGGGTTAGGGTTGGGGTTAGGATTGGGGATAGGGTTAGGGTTAGGGTTGGGGTTAGGGTAAGGTATGGGTAAGAGAGAAGCCAGTCTCTGACCAGCCCGACTGACCGAAGGCTTTTGTGGTGCAAAATGTGATATCTTTCCATGCACTGAACAGTTCTACCTTAGTCAGTGTAAACTGGTTCAAGATCACTTCCATCTTCACTTCCAGATCTCCCTACCAGCGGAGAAGCCCGTCCCAGACCAGCCGGACCGTCCCCAGGCCCTGGTGGTGCAGAGTTCCCGCAGCGTGCTGACAAACTCGCGTGTCGGGACCAACTGCACGCGGGACGACCTCAAAACCGTGCTGGAGAACTTCTCGGCCTCCGTGCTGTGTCGGGAGGAGGAGAGGTTTCCTAATAAAGATGGAGACTTTCTACAGGTGAGGTTCAGTCACAATTCTGAGACCTCAAAATGTTACCTTTTTTGGGAGGTCTTTGATATTTCAAGACCTAGTCTTCAGAGCACTGGATGAAAATGGGGAAAGGTTTTCTAGTAAGACTTTCAACAGGTTCAATTCATTTTCCATTCTGAGACTATCAAAGTGTTACCCTAGATGAAAACAGGGCCTAGGGGAAAGGTTTTCTAATAAGACTTTCAACAAGATTGGTTTATTCACACTACAAAATGTGATATTTGTCCTTCCATTGAGCATTTTAACATGTAGTATTTGCTGTGGTATATTGACATTATGTTCCTGATTTGATATCCTGTGAGCAGTCTATACCAGAAATCATTTATATTTGTTGAAACAACTATGCTGTCATTCTCAGGTGTGCAATGAATTCTGGGACGAGGCAATGCATGATGGGATCTCGTTCGACACCTCCGCGGCCCGGCCGCCGCCCATCGGGAGCACAAACTCTAAGGCAAACGTCCTCCGGGGTGAAAGGTCAAAGGACGTGTGGCTGATATACTTTGAACAGTTCTGGGTTGACTTTGGCGACGTTGCCAGTGCCAAGGGACGACCTCTGCCCTTTATCGATGCTATTCCGCTGCATTTATGGATTTGTAAGCCATTTCAAGGTCAGGACGATCCATCGCAAATGGGGGAGGAAGGTCAAACTGGCGGCCATATTGGCGCCGTTTCATCCAGCCCATCTCAGGTCAGGGGTCATAGAACCCTCCAATCACAACGCAGGAGACATCAGTCCGGGGAGGCTGACCAATCACAGCACAGGAGACATCAGCATGGGGAAGCTGACCAATCGCAGCACAGAAAACATCAGCATGGGGAGGCTGACCAATCGCAGCACAGAAAACATCAGCATGGGGAAGCTGACCAATCACAGCACAGGAGACACCGGACTGACCAGAGGCCCGCGTCTGGCAGCCAATCAGGAATGAAGTCGTATCAGAGTGACCAATCGTTGAAAAGGCCACATTTAAGTGACCAACCAGGATCGAAAATTTCGTACCAGAGGACTCAATCGGAGCCCAGAGGTCACTCTCTGCGACACGAGGAACGGAAAGGTCATCGCGGCGCTCAGCAAGGCGGCGGAAGCGGCGGCCATTCCTCCGAACATGGGAGTAAAGACCGGCGCAAAAGGGACAAACATGAACAGGGCAGCGAGAGACACGTCCGAGAGCAGCACCAGAGACACGGCGAGGTTTGGTTTATTTGCAATTCTCTCTGAGTCTATCAGAGTGTTACCTTTTTCTTGTTTTGGGGGGGTGTGTTGGATATTTCATGTCTTCAAGTCTTCAGAGCACTGGATAAAAACAGGGAAATGTTTGTTATACTTGAAAGTTCATCTGTGTTGGTACTGTATACGTAGTTACATGTTTAAAGTTAAAACTTTCGGTCCAACACAAAGAAGTTCTCTCACCAAGAGCTTTCAACCAGTCACTCTGGTTTTCGTCAGTAGACTGACCCAGTGAGGTTTGTCACGTGGCTTCTTTGAAGTGTGACGTCTACCAGATACCTTTGACCCAGTGTTGACGTCACACTTCAAAGAAGCCACGTGACAAGCTTCATTGGGTCAGTCTACTGAGGAAGACCAGAGTGACTGGTCAAAAGCTCTAGGTGAGAGAATTTTATTGTGTTGGATCAAAAGTTTTAACTTTAAACATGATAATCAATATTTTGTTAAAACCAGCATCATCAGCATCACCATGGAGACGAGGAGGCTCGTGATGAGAAACGGAAGCGTCTGATGGAGTACTACCGCGGCGGGCCGACGTCGTCGAATCACCAGGAGCCGGCGCGGAAGGAGAAGTCTCCTGGTTCGGAGGAGGATGAGCTCGTCAGAGAGATGTTCAGCAACCAGCCTCCGTCCAAGAGACTCAGCTCCACTTTCAAGGTGAGAAATACTAGTACCATGCTTGGCTGCCATCACAAAGAACACTTAGGATTTAGACTTGTTCTTAATTCTCATTTGTTATGTCTATGACCAGTCCTGGTAACATTTGAAGCGAGGGTTGTATATACTTACTATATTGAGTAAAGTTAACTCTCTCTCCATCTCTCTTTCTATCTCTCTCTTTCCCTATATCTCTCTATCTCTCCCTTTATCTCTCACTCTCTCTATCCTCTCTATCCCTCTCCCTGTCTCTCTTTCTGTCTCTCTCCTCTCTCTCCATCTCCCTCTCTCCCTCTCTCTCCCCTATCTCCCTCTCTCCCTCTCTCTCCCCCTATCTCACTCTCTCTCTCCTCTCTCCCCTCTATTTCTTACTCTTTCTCTCTCTTAAGACTGGTGCTGAATAAACCATATTTTTATATAAGGTTTTCATATTAAATAATAAAACAATTCTCTCCATCTCTCTCTCTCCAGACCAAGTCGCTGTCCGACAGTGACTCGAGTCCTGACCAGGAGAACGTGTTCATGAACGGGCCGGTGGGACAGAAGGGCGTCGTAGACGCGGCGTCGGCGCACCAGGCGGCCGCAGTGTTTTCCGTAGCGGAGATTCCCGCCTTCCGGGAGAGAGACCACCACAGGCCGCCGCTCGACCGTGCGCCGCCGGTTTCGCACCATCGCGGCGTCATTCCGGAGGAAAGGCCGCTCCACCAGGACTGGGAGCAGAGACAACAGCGGCCGATGCTCTCCCGCGACCGCTCGCTCTCCAGTCCGGAGCTCGACAAGGTAGTAGTAGTGAGGCACTGTATAGAGGCACTCACAACGCATTGCTTCAGGAGACTGACTCACCTGCATTCACACACGCACACATACTCACACACACGCACGCGCGCACACACACACACACACACACACACACACACACACACACATACACGCACACACGCGCGCGCACACGCACACACACACATGCACACACGCACACACACATTCACACACACACACACGTGCATGCACGCATTATACACACACACAAAAGGTTGTGTAGAATTGTTTATTTATTTAGAACCTCAAACATACACAATACGCTCTGACAACAGACTCGCAGGCAACCTTATTGGATGCCTCAATTGTTCTTTGGTCAACACAAAATATCATTAGAATATGCTTTTTTTTAATTTATTTAATCTTCGGACACCTGGGTGGCCTAGTTCAATTTTGGCAAATTGATTTTCAATAGGGCCCAGTACAAAATACAATAAAATCAAAGATACGGATACAAACAAAGACCGATACATGTATAAACAAATCAGAATCGTAAATCCATAACTCGTGTTGATTTAAACAGTCCAGGTCAGTATTATTGTTAAAAACATTTATAATTTTGCACATTATTACACATTGCTAAAGTTTATATTAATTATTATAAGTATTCCTCTGCTTTAGACATTATGCAGATCTGGAGTTATAAATGGTTTGAACGTCAATAATATAATGCATATTTCCAAATAGGCGTCGGCGTTCGAGCGGATGCTGCGCGGAAGGTCGATCAGCGTGGAGGAAGTGTTGTCCTCGGATGACCCGGCGGATTTTGACGCGGGCCGGGAGTTCGGCCGGACGGAGGCGGACTCACACATGCTGCTGCACACGCCGTCGAAGGTGCGCCCTAATCACTCACTCACTCACTATCCGTGTTTAGATTATTCTGCTGTCGGTTTGTCTGTCGGTCTAATGTACATCCTAATGTACCTGTATGTTATATACTACATGTACAATACATTGAAATAAATCATTATTATAACTTATATATATGCATGGAGCATATCTAATATTCACTCAGTGAGTGAGTGAGTGAGCATATTCAAAACATGAATATTAAGCAACGCCATATAAATAGCTGACATTATAGATTAGCTTTTAAATTAGTATCATTATGAATTAGCTCTGTCAGAATTGTATTTTAGTCTACTTGGGGTGTAGGGGGCTCTGGATAGAGGTCTGGACCTTTGGCGGCCTAGTTTTGTATAGTAATAGTATTTAAGTATAGTTCATGTATCTAGTACCCAAATTCTTCTTTGCCATACGTTGTAGCAGTTACAGTTGTTGAGCAATAAAGTTTATTCTGTATTATCATTACTAATTAGGTATGCGGTGTGGTGACGCACGACCAGTACCTGTTCCTGCTGAGGCTTCAGGAGTCCATCGCACAGCTGCAGGACTGCATGGAGGAGGACGCAGTCGCTATACGGGGCCGCCCGTCCAACGTTTCAAGCTCCTGCATCGCAGCCTGCTGCAGACAGGTCAGTTTGTTTGTTTGTTTGTTGGCATGGAGGAGGATGCAGTCGCTATACGGGGCCGCCCGTCCAACGTTTCAAGTTCCTGCATCGCAGCATGCTGCCGACAGGTCAGTTTGTTTGTTTGTTTGTTTGTTGGCATGGAGGAGGACGCAGTCGCTATACGGGGCCGTCCGTCCAACGTTTCAAGTTCCTGCATCGCAGCGTGCTGCCGACAGGTTTGTGTTAGAAATGCTCATCTACATTATTGACTTGCGACATTGACTTGGCGCTCCCAGCCCTAAGGACAGACAACACAGGAGCGGAATGTAGTAGTAGTAGTAGTAAGCCTTTATTTAAACTCGAAAGCTTGTTCGGTTACAAATGACCGCTTTTCAACAAGGTCGAGGGTGAGGGCGGGGTCACGGATTGCAAATCAAACCAAAATATAATACAAAATCAAAACAAAGTGCAAATCAAAATATAATACAAAAATAAATAATAAATCATCAGTCCGTTATCAGTCCAAGTTCCTTATCATACTTCTAAATGTTCCCAATGACTGGGCAGCTCCTATTTGTAGTGGATGCTGCCCGAAACGTCTGACTGTTTCCAAAATCATATCCAGTTGCTTGAGTACCAGACTGTTTTTTTGGCATATCTTATTACCTGGATGTCTAACCTTCACCGACGTATTTTTCGCCCTGCAGGTGAAGGTGTCTCTGATCCTCCCTTCCCCACCAGTTACAGTAGATGCTACCTTATGAAGCGCCTGACCATTTCCCAAATCATGATTAACATTATATCCAGTTGCTTGAGTAACTGTTTTTTGGCGTATCTTATTACCTGGATGTCTAACCTTCACCGATGTATTTCTCGCCCTGCAGGTGGAGCTGTCTCTGGATTCTCCCCCTCACCCACCAGTGGGGTCGCGGGCTTCGGGCAGCGCGGCCGGCAGCACAACGGACGTCGGCGCGGCGTCCCAGCAACGCCGGAGCTCGCTGCAGACCGACACGCTGATGGTCCCGGGGGCAACGACACCTCGGACGACATCCCCGTCGCCGGTGGACAGTGGCATTGCGGAGAGCACGACCGCGGGAAACGGGAACCACGTGGCGAAGTCGCAGAGCGACACCGCGCTCATGAGCCTCTCGTCTGACGAGGAAAATAACGGGGGGGAGAATAGGTACCTCCATAATACCATTTGCATACCAACTATAAAATATATAATAATATAAATATACTTCCTGTCTGTTTCTGATAACAACGCTTGAAATGAGTTGACTATTCAAACTTCTACAGTAACAATTTATCCCAATTTTAGGCCACACCAATTTAATTTGTTGGTTCTCGGAATCGCCGCTTCTGATTTTCGCCAAATCAAAAAAAAAAAAAAATTAAATCACTG